TCCAAATGCTGAAAGAAACCCCTGCAAATTACTCAATTGTTATTTCACACAGGAGCAACACTGCAAAACCTCGGTTCGATCATCCTGAAAAAGAGTGTTGAGAATCAGGCGTGGATAAGCAAGTCTAAATAAATAAATTCAGTAAAAAAATGCAGACAGCTATGGATTTTACGATTTTAACTTGGATTGAATGTTGATGGGAGCAGAGGTGCAGCAAAATAGCACGCTGCACCATAAACCCGAGTAACCCGAGTCTCCACGTTATGGGTTAGAGTAACATCACTGGCACGTGATATCTAAGCGGGCCCTGGGCCTCGCCTTTACCCACCCACACTGACCAGCGAGATAAAGTACAGCCAAACAATCTCCATGACAGCGCGGGAGTGGCCTTTTTCCAGGAGTTGGATTGACATTGTCACTGTAACCTAGGATGTTGGAATCTGTCTTCAGTGTGCAATTTAAAATTGACCTTTTTTCAACACACAATTTCATAACATACAAAAAAATGTCAAAGTTATTACCTTCATTTTCCATTGAGGCGGTGATAACCTGATCACAGCCCTGAATTCCCCATTCCTCTGGCGGGGGTGAGTCTATCCATCCAACAGCCACTGTTGACTTCACCGCGAAGTGGTACTACTAATTTAAAATGATCCCAAGTGTATGACGAGCTCAGTCAACCCACCCACCACAATCTAGGATGTAAACCTTTGGATTGCCAGCCATTTGCTCTCCTGCCGACCCACCTGGGAACGAATATGTTGCAAGATTACATTTTCTGTCGATTGAGAAGGATAGTAGAACTCAGCACCATCAGCTGGCGAGCTCCGCTTAGCGAGGAGGATGACTGTACACGTTCTTAACGAGGGCAGTAACGGATGCACAAAATCACTTTAAGGAATTTCCAAAACCCAGGAGGTAAAATGAAAGAACATTCATCCTCACATGCTGGTGTCATCTGCCACTGAGCCTGACATTTCCCGACTGGAGGTTGCTAATGGTCACGGGGACAATGGTGGCAATTTACTCCAATTTAAACTCACCCTGTGTTAGCTGGAAAAGGCCACCAGCCCTTAATGAGCACACAATAAATTACATCAGACGCCATAAACGTATTGGCAGAGAAGGCTACATTAGCGGTGGTTCGTTGCCAATGCAGCATAACTAAACGAGTTGTGCAGAATTCCATTCTAAACGGTGGTGATTTGTGGTCCAAGATATTTATGAAGTGTTAATCGCTTCACTTTTAGTGGTGGAAGTGCGGGTTAGTGGACCTCGAGGTCCACTGTAAACCTGGTGACCCTAGTTTAATTCCATGGCCCTGGATAACATCAGCGGTGAGCGATATCTGAACTGGTTCTGAGTTCTACTATAACCCTACATCGACCCACACAGACCAACCCCAGTGTGGGGAGACCTTCATCTAGCAGTGGAGATATATCATAAATATTATTTACTCATATTTACTGACTTACTTTACCACTTTCTCTATATTGCACTCCTATCGTTTTGTGTATGGTTTGATGTTGTAACTTGCTGTGCTGCCAATATTGGACATATGTGAAAAGAGCTTCATAGCTCATCGGATTCCTACTGGAGTATAAATAAAAATTCCAAATCGGAGTGACAAAAAGTATCCATAAACTGATCACGTTTTTCTTCTTCGTCTTCTTCTTCTTGTATATTTGGGTCCATTCTTCACACAATGAAGTGGTGGACCGAGACTTACAAACAGGAGAACAATGAGTGATTGCACGGGGTGACCAGCCTGGGTATAGTAGAGACATGGTGAGCAGTACAGGGCTTCTACAGAAAAATCCACGAGAAGTTTAACACGTAAGGTCTCGCGACCAATATCATCCATGAGAAGTGTTTTGGGTTAGGTCGCGTAAATCTATAAATGTGTCGTTAAACCCACCACCACCCGACACAGCCAATTAGTAAGGCTTGTCACGTAAACAGAACATGCCAATGCGTTACTAGTACAGCACACCGGTGTGTTGGAGAGCAAAGCCACAACATTTACAATCTGAGTACTGCCAGTAATTACAACCAGCTTCATCAGGCGACAGCCAGATTAGTGAAGAAATCCTCCTGTTTCGTTCCTTAAATAGAGGGGTGGATGTGATGACGTCACTTGTGAGCACTTCTTGAGCGACGTGGGGGTGGGGGGGGATTCCTGAATGCACATTAATGACGATGAGTATCCATTGCCGGTTGAGTTATTTGTACGGCAATCAACGTACATTATGCATGCACATTATGCAAACCCATCGCGGATTACAAAAATGTAATCCACCATCGTTCTATACTCCCCCCCTTCCCCCCGGTGCTCCTTTGCAACCCGCACTGGCTAGCGGGGTGAAGTATGGTCAAACAAGCCCCATGGATTGCCAAAGGGCCGTAGATTATTATTGATTTGGAGGGGATGATAGAGCGTTGTATTTTAGTTGCCGGTGACCCAGCGATGGCAGTGGAAAGTCCCGTGAATCCAATTAATGAAACTGCAAACGGCAATGCATTCGTGCTGGTGGCACACATTTCCACATTTAAAATAAAAATGTATCCGTAAAAAAATAACTAAGTTACAGCGACCTAAAAACCCAAATCCAAGAGAAATAATTTGAGTTTTCAAAAAAGTTCATGAACAGTGAGGTCATCTTTGTTTTGGTTCTTTCGGTAAAGTCACGTAGAAGGGAAATAATAAAATAATAAAATAATAAAAATAAAACATATGCCATCGTCAGCAGCCATTATCAATCCACTGCTGGACTAAAGCCTTCCCCAAACCACCGCCATCTCTCAAGATCTTGCGATTTAAAGCTTTCGTGACTGCGAGGATTCATTCTCTTTGGTTCTTTCGGTAAGGTCACGTAGAATGAGAATAAAATAATAAAATAACACAATAAAATTATCACGACGTTTCGGCCACAACGCAAGCGGCCGTCTTCAGGTGAAGGTGAAGACGACCGCTTGCGTTGTGGCCGAAACGTCGTGAGAATTTTATCGTGTTATTTTATTATTTTATTCTCATTCTACGTGACCTTACCGAAAGAACCAAAGAAGATCTCTCAAGATCTTGCGATGAAGCAATTCCGCTGCACACCAGCTGACGTCGTTGCTCCACCTGCACGAGGTCCGTCCCCTCGGCTGCCGCTCCGCTCTCAGTCTCGACCGTCCGCCACGGCCCGCTCTGGCTGCGACGCGCCTGCCCACGCCCCGCTCACTCACCTCTCTCTCTCTCCTTAGCACTTTGAGTCACGTCTTTAGCCTGCCCATTCCTTCGAATCCACGCACTCCTCTGCATGGCGAGGCGGTAATCCGGTTTCTAAATCAAACTAACTGCAGCAGAAGCATTGGAAGCTATTGCATGCTGTTAAATGCATTTCATTACACACGCAGTGTTCTGTCTTCACCAAACGTAACCCAAATAAGCAGTGAGGCCCCCTGATTTCCTGCTCACGCCACTGCTCTATAGAGGGTCCTCTACCAGAAGTAGCTTTCGAGAGTCCCACCCAGAGAGTAATTAGCCTTCACTTCCACGCTGTCCACGCCAAGAGATCAGCTCGAGCCGGTGACCGCTGGATTGCAACTCGAGTGTGCTGCTAACTGTTACAACTACGCCTGTAAAGCCGTAGTGCGCTCCACCACTGCTATATGTTTAAATGCGGCGCCGTTGTTTAAACAGCGGCTCTAAGATGCATTTAAAATCACCGCAAATGTAATTGAAGTGACGGTTTTTTACAGGACGCACATAAAGTGCATATGCTACAGACATTGCTCTGCTTATAAATTGGTCTATGAAAACAAATCCATGCATTTAAGCGGCCACATGAATCTGTAATAAGTACAAGGTCTTGCTGCGTATGTAATTATTGGCGCGTGATGAAAACGTGGGCTAGATAACGTAGGCTGCTAGGTGACACGATGCCTAGAAATGTGGGCATTGACACAAATGTAATTTGAACAAAAAAAATCTGAAAATTGTGCAAAGACTCATGGGGAGGTGTGTAGGTGCAAAAACAAACGAAAACAAATTACCAGATAGATTTAACAGCATTAGGGAGTCAGAGACACAGACGTGGATTGGGCAGGGAAAGCCGCTGGGAGCCATAATGGGCGGTGGTCGAGACTAGCGGCGAAGTAGCAGCCAAGGCAGAGAGCCGAGAGGAGATGGAGCGATGGAATCAACTCGTGGACAAGTGGTGCTAGGTGAATTGTAGCATTGGGAGACCGTGAGGGATGGACACGGCTTGGGGAGGGCTTCGTCCAGCAGTGGATTGATCATTGCTGATGTAGATCATTGTTATTTATTACTGTATTTAGTATCCCTAGTTCCTAACAATTCTAACCGAGCGCCTCTTTAAGGAGGTTACGGAGCAATTGTGGGGCATGCCCGTGACCACACAGCACCAACCTTCGTGTGCAGATATGTTTAGGCCGAGTCGACCTAAAGGACGGACAGAGGGACCACGCCAGGCAGTAGGCAGGGGCGCAGCTAGGTGGCTACGGGGTTGGTTACAAACATTCTGCTCAGTTTGTCATACCTGAATCTACCCAGGCCTTAACCTCCAGCTGGAGCTGTCCGAAGCTGAGTTCTGGAAAAGATTTTCTCCGAGAAATTACGGCCTGAATCTCGCCACAACTACTAGTCACTTGACTCGGTAGTGAGCCTACGATTAACTTGGGAGCAGCACAGTCCACAAGCATACGTGCCTATGTCACCATGTTGATGGGACAAAAACGTGGACTGTATAAATTGTAGGACATTTGTCCAAAATGCTGTGGGTGTCTCCGGTACCCACATCCAGCACCCAGGGATTCATTTTGTTTTCACAATATAGAGCTCAGCCCCAGACAGCTCCGGCTGGTTGTCGGACACCCATCACACCCACCAGAGGCTGATGCTGCGACGCACACAGGCAGTAAGTAGGTCGGTAAGTAGTCAAGGTAGGAGGTAGGTAGGTACAGAGGTAGGGACTGCGGGCGGCGCTCCTTACCGGAGGATGACGAACATCACGAGCAGGTTGCCGGACACGCCGAGCACGCACACGATAGAGTAGACGGTCGTGATGATGATGGGCATGGCGGAGAGCGGTTGCTGGGTGGAGCTCGCATTGGTCACCGAGAGATTGAGGCCGACCCTCTCGGCCAGCCACACCGCGGTGTCCACGCAGCCCTGGCTGGCGTTCTTGTTGTTGTTGTTGTTGCCGCCGAGGTGGACCGCGGAGTCATCGTCCATGGGCTGAATTTTGAACACCTCCATGGTCTCGCCCTGCCACGCGTCCTAGAAGACGTAAGGTAAGGTAAAGGTGCAGCCCCTGCAATCGCTCGCTCACGCCACTGCTGGCGGCGTGGCCCCCAGCTCGAGAGAGCTCGAGGAGGGGAGATCCCCTCTGGGGGGGGGGGTGTATTTTGAACAACATTTCTTGCTAAAAATCTTGGGAGGGCCCACACTTTGCCCCACCTTACGCGCGAGCTGCCGATCGAGTCGCGGTGGATATTTATACTGCTGCAAGGACGGAGGGGTGGGTGTGGGGGGGGCTTTAAGAAACGTGCCCATTGTGTGAAGTGCCGCGCCGGGAGATATAATCGAACCGGCGACGTCTACAATTCCAAGTCTTCTTTTTGGGGGGGTGGGGGGGGTCTCTGACCCGGACAGACCCCGGCTGAAATTAAGCGCCCTGGGTCATGAATGACAAATCACGAGTCCTTAAAGGAGACGTTTTCATTCGTCAATCTGCCAACTGCTCCTTTGGCTCGCTCACAAATGCAAACTTCCTACGGACGATGAACGTGCGATGCGTTCTTGAAGTCGCCTCTTACTTTTACCAAACGTGAGCACGGAAGATGCCATCAAATTCGCACTGACGACGTGGAGCCAAACGCGAGGTCGTGCCCCCGCCTCCTCCTCCTCACCACCACCACCACCACGTGTGCGGGCGTGGCTTTGTCATTTTATAGGGGTGGCTGAAAGTGCACGTAGCCTGGCACGATCGCCTTGGCGACGTCACCGCAGCTTCGTGTTGAATGGCGGTTGTTGTTGTTGTAGTGCGAGCGTAGGTGTGGCTTGGCCTTCGGCGGTGCTCGCGAACAGCACTTGCACCTACAGTCTGCTCAGGCTACACGGGGGGGATCTTTACAGGTGTGGCTATGTGCGTGCAGGTGCGGCTACGTGTGTGTTCCATTCCCGCTCACGGCCAACACCAGCGACACCGACCTGAACCGGTCCTGAGCCTCCCCTAGGTCGACTCAGCCTTAAATGAGTACCTGGGACGGTGTGTAAACATCGCCACTGGGGAGACAAAGGCGGCCGAGCGTGGTGCTCGTGTGCCGTGCCGGTCTTCATCGGAGCTACTCGTTAGCAGCACTTGCCCCAACAGCTTGTTTAAGCTATACGGGGGATCTTTGTTTGTGTACCTGTGTTAGTACGTGTGAAGGTCCTTGGAAGCATATCTCTATGTGCCTTTAAATCAGTTTCGGTTCGCGGCGCCGATTTGTCCAGGCAAATTATGCCCCCTCGGGATTTCCAGTCTCAGGTGATAACGCGTGCGGATGCAGGCCTCATTGATAAGACAGAGGCAGCGTGTGATGGTGGTGGTGATCGTGATATCCCTCGTGCTGGGTCGGGGGGTGGGCTGTGTGCGTCTGTCTGCTGACGATGAAGCCACTTGCCTAGTGCATTCCAGTTTAGCTGTGGGTCTCCTTGCGTTGTGCCTATGAGTGGGGGGTGGTAGTGTAGCGGTTAGCACGCTACGGCGAGAACCCGACGACGCGAGTTCGATTCCTGCTCACGGCCAACACCGGTGATGATTATCTGAACTGGTCCCTGGGCCTCCCCTAGGTCGACTCAGCCTCAACTGGATACCTTCTGCGATGTGTAAACATTGCCACGAGGGTAACAAAGGCGGCCGGGTGTGGTGCTGGCTATGGGGGATCTTTGTCTTGATTTATTAATACATCGGTCGACGAGGATATATGCGAGTCTATGGCTCTCTGTGTGAGTCTATGGGTTTCTATGTGAATCTGTGGCTATTTGTGTTAGTCTATGGGTCGCTGTGTGTGATTGTCGTTCTCTATGTGGGTGTGTCGGTCCGTGCGTTAGCCTATGGGTCTCTATGTTGATCTATGGGTCTCTGTGTTAGCCTATGGGTCTCTATGTCGATCTATGGGTGTCTATGGGTCTCTATGAATCTATGGATATCTGTGTTAGTCTATGGGTACCTGTCTTAGTCTATGGGTATCTGTGTTAGTCTATGGGTCTCTGTGTTAGTCTATGGGTATCTGTGTTAGTCTATGGGTCTCTGTGTTAGTCTATGGGTCTCTGTGTTAGTCTATGGGTATCTGTGTTAGTCTATGGGTCTCTGTGTTAGTCTATGGGTATCTGTGTTAGTCTCTGGGTCTCTGTGTTAGTCTCTGGGTCTCTGTGTTAGTCTATGGGTCTCTGTTAATCTATGAGTAACTGTGTTAGTATATGGGTCTCTTTGAATATGTATATCTGTGTTAGTCTATGGGTCTCTGTGTTAGTCTATGGGTACCTGTGTTAGACTCTGGGTCTCTGTGTTAGTCTATGGGTCTATGTGTTAGTCTATGGGTACCTGTGTTAGACTCTGGGTCTCTGTGTTAGTCTATGGATCTATGTGTTAGTCTCTGGGTCTCTGTGTTAGTCTATGGGTCTATGTGTTAGTCTTTGGGTCTCTGTGTTAGTCTCTGGGTCTCTATGTTAGTCTATGGGTCTCTGAGATAACTATGCCACACAATCGAGTTGCAGTATCTCGATGAGCCCACCGTCACGCAGAAGCTGTTGTTGCCCCGTCATCTGCTCGAGCAACGCACCGCCGACTGCTGCATGGCATCTGCTGTCCGTGCATGCGTATGTGTGGGCGCACATGTCCATGCAGCTACGCCTGCACGAATGAGTTCACCTGTTATCGCAGTTGTGTGTGTGTGTGCAGCGGTGAGTCTAAGCCGTATGTGCAGCAGTGCCTGTATGGGGTTGTGCAGCAGTGGGCGAAACAGTTGGTGCATCTGTGTGCAGCAGTGAGTGTAAGCTACGTTCAGCAGTGAGCGCATCTGTCCGTGCAGCATTCTGATAGCGCGGCAGCGAGTGCATATGGGTGTGCAGCAAGTGGGTGCAACAGTTGGTGCATCTGTGTGCGTGCAACAGTATTTGTAAGCGCTACAGTGAGTGTAACTTACCTGCAGCAGTGAGTGTGTATGGGAGTGCAGCAGTGCCTGTATCTGAGTGTGCAACAGGGTGCAGCAGCATCTGTGCGAGCAGCAGCGGACTCTCGTGTCCGTGGGGATGTTTGTCGGTGTGTGAGTGCAGCCGTGGTGCAGCGGTTTGCACGCTGTGCTATGAAACTGGCTGCGCGGGTTTGATTCCCGCTCTCGGCCAACACCATTGACGATTAGCTGAATTGGGCATCCCCTAGAGCGACTCAGCCTCAAATGAGTGCATGGTGTGATGTGTAAACATCGCTCACGAGAAAGACAAAGGCGGCCGAGTGCGGTGCTAGCCACCCACCCCCTCGTGTGCCGTGCCGGCCTTCATAGGTGCTACTCGCTAAGAGCACTTGCCCCAACAGTTTGTTGAGGCTATACCGGGAAACGTTGTCTTTGAGCGCAGCAGCAGTGGTGAGTTTACCCGTGGGCGCCCAGGTAAGTGAATCTGTTTGTGCACTTCTGTGTGCAGCAGTAGCAGCAGCAGCAGCGAGTGAGTGTACGCGCACACACACGCAGACGCACGGACGCAGCGTTACTCATCTCTTCCCGGGAGGAGCACTCACCGCGATCGCCTCGCGCCGTCTCCTCTCCACTCCTTGCCGCTCCGCGTCCACCGCCCGCCTCGCTCGCCCTGCAGATCGCGCGTGAGCGGCACCGACGCGCGCGCGCGCGTGCCGTCTGCCGTCCTCGTCAATTCATGAGTACGACTATTGACTATTTACTGCTGCTGCTGCTGCGTAAACGACTCTCAGCTCGACGATCGAGCAGAGAGTAGTTGAGAGGTGATATCTGCGGTGGCGCCGCTCGGCGAGCAGAGGCGAACGTCTCGATAACAACATCAACAACAACATTAAGGCGACTCCCGCCGGCGTTCGTCTCCACCGTAACCCGGTGCCGCGGTTTCAACCGAGAGAAATCCTTCGCTTTGACAGTTCGACTCGAGGACACGGTCCCTAAACGACGCAGCGGTGTTCGCGTGTAGATAGCCCCCCCTTTCTCGCGCCCGACGAAGAAAGAAGGCGAGAGAGCTTGGGATTGGGGGGGTGCTATATGGGAGGCAGCGAGTATCCTCTCTCCTTCCCTCCCTCCCTCCCGCCCTCTCTCCCTCCTCCATCCCCCATCGTTCTTCATTGGAAGCGCCCGCGCCGCGCAAAGAGCCCAACAACCAAAGACAAAGCTTCCCCCGTGTGACCCTGGGGCAAGGGGTGCTGTTAGCGAACACCTATGAAGGCCGGCAGGGCGCACGAGATGCTATGGGTGGCCAACACCACGGTACCGGCCGCCTTTGTCTCCCCAGTGCTAATGTTTACACTCCCATAACAGGCACACATTTAAGGCTGAGTCGACCTAGGGGAGGCGGGAGGTCCGGGACTGGCTAAATCTTAGTTGCCTTGTTGTTGTTGTTTGACTTGCATCCCACTGGGATTTTTGCACACAGCGTTGGTGTACGGTGCTCTTTCAGGAATATTTTGCTGTTTTTTCATGGATTTTCTGTTTGCACAATCATAGTCACTTTAAGATGTTGTCTTGTTCATGTTTTTGTTTTTTGTTTGTTGCGGTTGCACCCGATTCAAGAGCCGAATGGCTCACAGGGCTGTACCAAATAAATGAAACCATGAAACTAAGAAATGGCTCAAATTTTCTCTACCATTTGGGTCGTGCGTGGGAATAAAACTCGAGTGCGCTCACCACTGTGCCACCGCTCCCCACCACCACCACCATCCCCCACTCGCCCCTCACGTGATTGACTCCTGCACGAAAGCGTGCCCTTTAGTCAACGTAATTAATTATTATTATTAGTCTTGCAGTCAGCGATCATGCGAATTCGCTTCCTATATTAACGTATGCACGAGTGTGTGTGTGTGCGTGACGACGCCCCACGTGCTCGCCCCGTGCCCGTGGACCCGCATCGGGGCCACCCCTTGCGGCTGCTGCTGCGCTGTGTTCTAGGTCGACTCCGCCTTGAATGAGTACTTGCTGTCGTGTGTAAACATCGCCACTTCGGGAGACAAAGGCGGCCGGGCGAGGTTCTGGTCACCCCCACCACCACGTGTGTCGTGCCTGCCTTCATAGGTGCTACTCGCTCACAGCTCTTGCCTCAATCGTCTGTTTAAGGCTATCCGGATGATCTTTGTATTTGTGTGGTGTGTGGTGTGGATGTGTGTGTAGTGTAACAGCGCCGGCTGGTGGACAGCAGCGGCAACTGTGGTGTACAGACGCCGGTGAGGGCGTGCGCGGGGTGTAGGCAGAGGGAGTAACTCGGGGAAGGGTCACGGGAGACCCCATCTGGAGGCCCCTAGAACCTTCTAGCGGGTTCGAGAAGGGAGGCGCTGGGGAAGGACAACAAACTAGAGACCCATTTCTAAAGACATTTCTAAAGAAATGGGTCTCTAAAGGAATATAAGTCTATGAACCTCCACGTGAGTTGATATCTTAAACCACCAACCACATAAGTCTGCACGTGTGTCCCTGGGTGTCTATATCCGTGGGTGTCTATGTGCAAAGCATGTGTCCGTGGTGTCTATGGATGTCTATGTGTCCGTGTGCGTTTGGTTCGTTTCTGCCGGAGTGGCCTCCGTTGCATGCGCCCGACGTCTTTATCGCGCGCAAGAGGAGCGACATTAGTGATGATGAGGCGATCATTGCCGAGCTTAATTCACTCAGCAAAAGACAAAGATGCCCCGTATAGCCTCAACAGACTGTTGGGGCAAGCGCTGTTCGCGAGCACCTGTGAAGGTCGGAACAGCACACGAAGCGAGTTGGGTAGCCAGCGTCACGCCCGACCGCCTTTGTCTCCTGAGTAGCGATGTTTACACACCGCACCTGGTACTTATTTGAGGCTGCGTAGACCTAGGGGATGGCCCAGGACCGGTTAATATATTCGTCACCCGATGTTCGCCGTGGGCGCGACTCGAACTGGGCAGCTGAGCGCTAACCGAGACGTTGCGCTGCAACTGCTCACGATGAGCACTCTGCGGAGGTAATTGTCCACGTGTGACTGGGTGCACTGCCGCACGCCGATATGACGGGGCCATGCTGGGAGCCAGAGGGCTTCAACAATTACCGCGTCGTCGTCGTCGCCGCCGCCGTCAGCAGCTCGAACGCGCCGCTTGCGTATTCACGGACGGCTCTGCCCGTGCGGTCGAATTATTCGCACGCGCCCAATATCGCACATGTGGACGTGCCTGCAAGGTTAGTCAATTTAAAGGAAACGCAAAATTATTCCCGCGACATCAAAGGCGCAATATTGCAGGGCACCTTATTTGCACAGCCATTTATTTATATAATCGGATGTGCACGCGTACGCTAAATCCTGGTTTACATTTGTGCAGGTGTGGTACGTTTGTGAAGGGTGTTTAAGGCAAAGTTAAAGGCGCAGCGCTGAAATTTGTTTCTCACGCCTCTGCTCGCGGAAGGGCCCCCACGAGAGGGCGCTCTAGAGAGCAGCCTTCTGTCTCACTGTTCCGCGTTGGCCAGACGTCTCGCATGTGACAATAGTGGTGAAACATCACACTGTGTCTGTGGTGTGTGTGTGTGTGTGGTCTAGCAGCGCGACGGCTTGCGAGCGGCGCCACGAACCCGGCGAACCAGGTTCGATTCCCACTCACGGCCGGCACCAGTGACGATTATCTGAACCGGTTCAGCCTTAAATGAGTACCTGGTGCGGTGTATAAAGATCGCCACTGGGGAGACAAAGGCAGGTGGTGCTGGCCACCCGACTTCTGGTGTGCCGTGCCGGCCTTCATAGGTGCTACTCGCTAACGACGCTTACCCCAACGGCCTGTTAATAGGGGTCTTTGTCTTTGTATATGGGGGCAGCTTTGGCACAATGGTTAGCGCACTGTCCTATGACGCTGGCGACCTGGATTTTATTCCCATCCGCATCTAGCATCTTTGGCGAGTGATAATTGAGTATCTCTATGGGTCCTGGGCCTCCCATTTGGAGACAAAGGCAGTCAAAAGTGGTTATAGCCACACTGCCTCGGTCACGTGTTGAGCTGGCCTTAATAGGTGCTCGTTTACAGCATTTGTCCCAATAGTCTATAAACGGCTATACGGGGGATCTTAGTCGTTTGCGACGTATGTGAAGTCCCTGTACACGTTGAATTTAATTTGCCACAGCGATGAAAGGGTAGTTAGAATGTCCCATTAGCCCACGCAAATACCAATTTGGTTTTCTTAATGACCGCGTTGCCAAGCTGACGTGATGAATGATGGCAACACTTCACATGCAGTGTTCTGGCTGATCACTAATGCTATCTGCTCGGTGACGCAAGCGTCAATGAATGGCTCTGAGCAAGTGTCACCAACTGGGAGCATTGGAACATCGCACGGCTATCTCTCCGACCCTGACGGACAATCCTGGGCAGCTTCACAGCGGGACATGCGGTCTCAACTCTCCTAAGCAGGGACCGCAGAGTAAGTGCACTGCCACCGTTCGCTGAGCGCAATTCCACAGATGCTACGAGTCTCTATGCGAGCTTATGTTTTACGGTATGTATGCTGAACTTCTTTGGCGTCGTGCGTAGCCAACCGTGCTCATCGGAGGTGCGGGGAGAGGATAACAAACTAAACGCAAAAAAAAATCAGTAAAGAAATGGGTCTCTCTATGCAAGTTCACGAACCTCCGCGCGAGCCTATGTCTTAAACTACAAACCATAGCATAACGGCCACGATGCCCGCTTCGATCATTCAGCGTCACAGATGCTCAATGTGAGCATAAGAACGTCGCTGATCAACTCCCCACCGCACAGAAGAGAAAACCCAAGACAGACGTTGCTGTCATCTGCTGTCAAGTGTTAACTGAATGCAAAACTGGGCACGGCAGAGTAAACTGTTGATGGTAGCCTGCAAGTCGAGACCGCACGGGCGACATGCGTGCGTGTCACTGTGATGTCAGGTCTGAAATGCAATTTTGTTCGCATCATCTGGAAGGACTTCAAAAATGTAAGGAGAAAAAAAAACTAAACATCGAAATCATAAATGTGGATAAAATGCGATCCTTGAGATAGCAGAGATAGCAAACTTTTACCGAATGAAATAGAAGCACAGCCCACATCGAGTGGCTGTTGTTAAAGCGTTGTCTGTCTCGACCACTGAAATAAATGTATTTCCATTGCGCCCTGCCCCAAAGAACAGACCTTTTGGTACGCATGGGAACTGTTAGGAAGCTCAATGTAGTTGCTATTTACTATATTATTTACCAGAGCCAAGCCCCGTGACCTATGAGCTCCTTTTTAGAGACAACGTGGCCACACAGGGTAGTGGCTTTTATCGTCATCACAGTGGGGAATTACAGTGGCAGCCAAAAATAATCTAAACGCACACATCTCAATGTGGAGAGCAAAAACCGAAGGACCCAGAAAAAGTACGCGCGACCACATGCAAGGAGAGAACACGCGGCCTCCTAATATACAAGAGACATCGCAGGGGTAGAGATCGAATCCACGGCCCCCTGCGTACCAGGAAAGGAAAATGATATTTCCACTAGGGTCGCTTCCTTATTCGTTACGGACAATCTCAAAATAATCATGATCATCCAGATTATTGGCGAACCCATGATGTAACGAAAGGAAACAGAAGAGGCTTTGAGAACATGACCACAGAAGAGCCGGCTGCTGTTACTGATCACTGTGACAAAATGAGGTTATAAAGCATTACAACAACAACAAAACCTGTGTTCTAAATAAGCCAGAAGGAATGATGGCAGGTCAAGAATAATGACGGAGTGGCAGCCGAGAACGAATGGAACGTGTCCGAGGAGACGTCATAGAAAACAGGGGAAAGCCATTATTGCTCAGCGGTGAGAAGGCCTCACAACAGCGATGTGAACAGCAGCAGCATCAGCAGCAGGCCACGCCAGGGTACGAACGATGGAGCAAAATCCAGAGATGGCTTTTTGTGGAATGTGCATCCCCATGACAAGGCCGGGAACATTTCTCCGCAGCCTCCCGAGCATCGAACAATGTACAAATAAAAGCGAGGATTCAACAACAATTTGTCCTTGTGCTGTTACCAAACAAAAGACTTTCTTTTATCGTACCGGGATAGAAACACGCTTTGT